TCCTTAACTGGCAATAATCTGGTCAAAAGTACAACAGTTCACTCAAGTTATGGAGATGAGCGCTGAGAGTCTATCGTGTTAGCTGCTACATACTACATATTTGATACAGAACACCTAGGAGCTATCCTAGAGGCTTTATTCCTTGTGATTTCCTACCTKGACCTGGTTGGAACGAATGATCTAGTATTTAAGAAGCTCTGTAGTAATGACCAAACTTCACATTATTTTCAAATTATAGTTGAAAGACGGCTACTTKGGCTGTACTTAACTCACCAGGTGAAAATGCAGAGCTGTTATTCGTAGGCCCTGAACCAACAGACACGAAAATCAGTGGAAATTTTTCAACAGTTTCAGTTAAGCTCCGAATAGTCTCTGCTACAAGCAACATTGCATATCCTTTCTTGTCATAGTAAATAAAGCTAGTTTTGATTCTTTTTGTTATGCAATAAATTTCCCAAGCTGAAGACCTGTTTTATTTCAGCTGTTGTGTTTTTGGAGGCTATGCATAAATGTTCAAAAGCTTATTTTCTAATTTTGTCATTTTCTTCTGAAATTCTCTGTACACTGTTTACTTAAGAAATGAAATTGCTCTTTGTTTTTCTTTCTGGATAAGCTGTGGGGAACCTTTCATTTGAACATATTCAAGCAGTGTAAGTCAGACCAATAACACAAAGTCAAAACCATTTCAGGGAAAGTGCTATCATAAATGCTAACTGAGATTAATGAGCTTAGAGGCAGTTTATAGAGAAAGCATCCGAAACACAGGATGTATATTGCAAGATACATTCTGTAAAAACATATTACTGCAGTGTTATGTTGTTGGATTCATAGATCAGTTTTAACTGTGAGTCTTGGTTATGCCCTGCAAGCTACTTTATTAATATTAACTGGTAGTTGAGAGCAGCAAATTTCCATCGAACTTAAACTTTCAATGTATTTCAATTAGTGGATGAATATGACGTTATTATGTTTAAGTCAATCATTTTCCAAGTGTTTCACAGCTTTTAAAAAAAGACTTTGACTCTGCAAAATTTGGAAAATACTCTAAAGCTTTCACTGCAGACAAAAGCTGTTAATACAATTATTTTAGTCACATTGCATTTGGCAAAAAAAAGATTTTTTTTTTCAGTATTTATCTCACATGTGCATTGAGTAAATATAATTTATATAGGGGTAATTCTAGAATTCATTCAGCACAGTAATATTAAATGTCTTACGTTAATGGATTTGTTACTGCTACCATCCAAAAAATGGGGAGTAGTTGTTGTCCACAATTTACATAATGAAATTATAATYGCATAATTATAGATAATATTTATTTAATTTAATTAATATAATTTATAAATAAATTATTAATAAATACATTTAATTTGTTTATTGAAAGGTGTTTACCATTCAACAGTATTGATCTACTGTTCCTGGTCTATTGTTAATTGTCTGATGCAGTGGGATTCTGTTCCAACATGCACATCACCAGGAAATCCTAGTTTTGAACCCTCACATTTTTAGAGACCAGTGTTCAAGAGGGACTTCTAACACATATGTGGACACAACACGTATTYGTCCACAAATACGTAGACATAACATTAAATAAAGCTCTTTATTTCTTGCAAGCTAAGTTCATTTCTGCCTATCTGTGCTTCTGTCCTTGGTTTCTTTCCATCACTGCCCTCACTAATGAACTGTGAAAGCTGACATTTCCAATAAGGAAYAATTAAAACTCAAAGCAAATGAAATGAAGTCATTCATTTATAAAATAATAGCTAACTTATAAGATGATGAAAAATTATTACAAGTCACGTGTAAAAAAAAATGGAGTAAATTAAGTCTCACTCTATTCATGTTCTTCAAATACTTTGATTACTCATAAAAATTAATCAGGAAACATCCTGATTAGCTAACATTAGTTAATTTACATATAAGCCATTAGTGTGTGTAAATATATATATATGTGTATATATATATGTGTATACTTCACAAGAAGTACAGGACAGAAACCTTTCAGAGTGTTGCAGTAAGGCACTACAACAATTTAATCCAGATGACAGGAGAAATATATAATCCTTGGATGCCAATTAGATGGAGCAAGTCCGCGCTCTGGGGTTCTCTCCACCCTGGTGGAWGGAATTTGCTGGACTCTTCCCCTCTGTTTTCTGTCCTGTGCTTTATGTCCATCTCTGTGTATCAAGAGAACAAGGACGGTAGCAAGAACCGACCRTGGTAGAGCTGATTCAGTAAATACTGTGGACAGTTCTCCAAGCAATGTATGATTTCAGCTCTTTACTGTTATCCCTCCTAACGACAGACTTCACTTGAAGCAGCAGCAGTTCAAGTCTAAATGTTCACCACATTTCCAGGGTTTAAATGTTTTCACATAGACATAAAATTTCCTTCCTATACAATAAGCTTTACCTAAGATTTTTTAAGATCTTTACCTAAGACTTGAATTTTTGAGAGGTACATTATTTCACATGCAATCCAGCCACTCACATTTGTTGCTTTTGCAGTTAGACTTTTCAGGCCATCTGTCCACCATGCACACAACAGGCATTTTACTTTAAATCCAAATGCGGACAAATATGTAAGCAATGTTGGAACAGAATAAAATAGAATAGACATTCCTTGGTACTGAGGGAATGCTGATTTGCTATGAGTGATGTGAGCATAACGTTTGCCATGTCACTTCATCCACTTTTATTTGGAAAAGCTTTTTAAATTTGTCTGTGAGTCTCTGAAGGCCCAAGTTAACTTTGGAATCCATTCTTTAGGGGAATTGCAGAATTCTCAGCTCTGCTATAAGTATTGGATTTTAATTTAAATTAATCTTAAAAAAAAGAAAGAAAGAAAAAATCTTCTTGCCTATATCTAAGGAGACTACAGAGACAAGAAGGACCATGTTGAAAAAAAAAACATTGATTTTCTCAACTATGTTTAAAGTCCTTTCCCTTTGTAAAACAAATAACCTGAATAAATATGTCAGGGATGATTAAAACTTCATTAAAAACTGTAAACAGAGTACAAAGAAGAAAAGAGAAGGAAATGAAAAAAGCTTGGCTGAACTGAATAATGGTAATAATAAAAGCACTAAACAATATTGGTAGTTAAAAGCCCTTTTAAAGTGAATGTACCACTGAGATGGGAAGCAGAGCTGCTGTCACCTATCACTGGAGATGGAGATCTCTTTTCAATAATTTGATAATACTTTAATGAAGAAATTAATGACATTATCTGGGAAATGGAGGCCATAGATAAAGCCAGTTCCTCACCAGTTCTGAAATCTAATGAGAGAAGTCTCTTTGCTGGTCAGCAATGATGCATGTCTTGAGCAGCAGGTCCTGGTCTGCCTAGGAGCAGGCACAACCACGTAGGGCACCATTCCAGCACTGCATGCATGGTGTACTTCACAATATTGATGCAAAAAACAGCTTTAAAATGGACAATTGGGCAGTCTGCTTTACTGAGGTGAGCAGACTGTGGCATATATGTCTTAAAAAAGCAAGAGAAAACAACTCCATTTGTTAAAGTGGCATACTTTAAAGTGGCATACTTTAAAGGATAAATCAACAAAAAAGGAGAAATACTGTTACAGAGAAGCAGCAGATTTTGAGAAGAGGACATTTTGCTAATGCACTGCCAATGGATGAAATCTCTATTCTCAAACTTTTTAGATTTAAATAGAGAAGAGGGGTTTACACAGATAAAGGAAGATAAAAGCTATGAAAGAAAGACGTGAATAGAGGGCAGGGAAAAGTGAATGTAGAGAAGTAATATTTTTGGGGCAAACAGCAGGATCAGAAGAAGGAATTACAGTTTTGAATTGAAGGTAAAATTTAATACAAGAGCAGCACTGGCATCTGACTTAGAGCAAGCAGCTTGTGATGATCACTGTTGYTTGGCTTTGACAGAAGGATGTAGCAATAAATAGTATAATTGTGTTCTTGGCCTTTCAGTCAAGATCAAGCGATGGAATTTTAATAACAAGACCTTTATCCAAGGCTCCAGAGATAATTGAGATAGTGATGAATAAACCCGTGTGTTTTCAGAGCAGAGTCCTGTGTATCCTATACAGATTGCACAGCCTGTACAGCACGACAGATAGCTCTTCTGGAGGAGCAGCATTATTTCTCCTCTAGAACAYAGTTATTGCTCTTCCAAATGCATCCAGTGTGGAAGGCCATACACCCTAATTCTTTCCAAGCTGGCAGAAACGTGCTTGCCTAATCATATTGTCAAACAGAGACAAGTTCCCTACATCAGGGCTAGGATTTCATTTATAAATAAAAGGTATTTTTCAGTCTTTGGTTAATATTAACATAAATGTCATTGTTATACTTGAGCCCTGTACAGACCGCAATTTGTTTTTCCCTAACAACAGCAATAGCTTCACCTTGATCTGCTCAGCAGTGTTCATTTCCTGCTAATAAGTCCCTCTGTTTAAGTTTGTGCAGTTTGCATAGATCACAAGCAGTTCAAATTTGATTATCAAGATGCCTCATGTATGATCCTGCAAATGGATCGATTGGCAGTGGRATCATTTTCAGTGTCTCCCCGTTCATATTTTATAAAATTGATTACACTGGCATTGAAGGGAAAGCTGCAAGTCTTACCTGCACTTGAATTGCCTCCACAAGGCGCTGCAAACCTGGAAGCAGGTCCACATCTTTCTTTCTGATGTTGAAAGAAAGGCTAAATTTGCAGTTGGCACGGGGAGATCTAACGTATTTCAGCTGCCACAGCCTGCAGCGGGGGCTTGATGTTGCCAGGGCTCGAGAGCATTCGTGCGCCCAAACCCTCTGCCTGCGTGCTTGGCCTGAGGAAAATAATCCATTTTTCTGAACCTGCAGGTCAGTCCCGTGGGGAGGGAACTCTTTGATCGTGTGGGGCACTGAGGGTTATTGCCTCTACAGAGGCTCGTCTGGTAGTCAGAGTGAGGCCGGGGCTGTGCAGCGTGGTGGGGGGGATGGTGAAAGTTGGGCCGTGATTCAAATTCAAGTCCTTACCAAGCGCCTAGTGCGGTTCCAACGGTTCCAACGGCTTTAACGGTCRGGAGGGCTGGCAGTGCGGGCGAGGRAAGCGGTGCCATGGGGGCTGTGCGGGTCCGCGGCACGGAGAAGCTTCCGGAAAATGGTGCCCTGGCTCTGCGAGCTGACGGAGCTGCTGCAGGGGAGCGTGGATACGCAGAGACACGCTAGACTCTCAGTCTCTGTACACGCTGAGCTCTCTGTCTCAGTCCCTGCCACGCTTTGCTCAGTCTTTAAGACTGAGAGAGCTGGGCCTGTTCAGCCTGGAGAAGAGGAGGCTGAGGGGGGACCTGATCAGCCTGTATAAAGAAGGGAGGGAGGCGGGGGGGGGGGGGGGGCCTCTTTGCAGCGGTGGCCAGCGACAGGACTAGAGGAAATGGCCACAAGCTGAGGCACCAAAAGTCCCCCAGGAGCTTAAGAAAACATTTCTTAACAGTGAGGGTACCAGAGCCCTGGAACAGGCTGCCCAGAGAGGTTGTGGAGTCTCCTTCTTTGGAGATCTTTAAAACCCGCTTGGGTGCAGCCATGTGCCCCGTGCTCTGGGTGACCCTGCGTGAGTCACTAGATGACCTCTGAGGTCCCTTCCAACCTTAAGCATTCTGTGGTTCTATGGGTTGTTCTGTCACATGGCYTTGTTAAGAGAAAGGAAAATATATGTAAGGGACTGGGAAAACACTGCAGCAAAGAGGGAAGAGAACCCTCTTCGAACTGAAACTGCTAGGCCGAGTGTGGGCGATTAAAATTAGAGGGGTTTTGAGGGCTCTTTTTTTTCTCTGTGGTGATAGAAATTTGTATTTTKGCCATGCTGGATGAAGTGCTGATCGGAGGGACGTGGAAGGCTTATGTTTATGCCTCCCTTTTGGCATCTTACACCAACCAAATCAGTCAGAAAAGCTCAACCAGGGCTAAACCTGGTTAGCAACCAGGTTACACTTTCATTTAATGGAAAAAAGGATCAGTACAGGTTATGCTATAGACTTAAAGATGTTGTGAAGTATACAGTCAAAAAGTTTTTTTTTTTTAAAAGCACAGATTCTCTGCACCAAAACTATGATAGCTCTCTTTTCTTTTTTTTTTCTTTTTCTTTTTTTTTTTTTTTTTTTTTTTTTTTTTTTTTTTTTTTTTTTTTTTTTTTTTCCTGCATTGGAGTTATATTATTTATTTTAACTCTGAATATCTTTGGCCTTTCAGTTAGAAGCAGCTTTATTATTTTCTTAGGCTATTAGGTTCTTAAACTCATAACACAAGTTTAAAGTTTTTTTACATTGAAGACTTCATACCTGTGTCATGCTGCCTTGCTTAAGTATAAGGGTTTGAAAGTTCMAATTTTGATGCATGCATTTGTTCATGTATATTAACATTAGCTTCTGTTACCAGTGCAAATATTTCTTGTATAAAATATTCAGCATCTTCTATTAAAGATTTAAGGACAAAATCAGTCACTTTATTTGGCACGAGCTTCTTCAGTTCTTTTTGTGTTTGATGATGAAATCTTTCTGTCTTCGTAAAAATAATCTCAAACCCTCTGAATGTTTTTAAAGTGTTCTATCACTTGGCATTTGTTTCTCTTTGGAGTTTTTCTCTGCCTTATGGCCTCAAGGAAAAACACCCTTGACTACTGTCCTGAAGGTTTTAGGTCTTGCAAAAACTCTTAATCCCCCAGTAGCTCTTTTCCTACTTGTAATTCACACTTCAAACCAATGATACAAGAGTGCTCTTATTTCACCATTAAGCTTTGGTCCTTGTGCAATACCCACTGTTCTGTGAGAAGAATAATTAGCAGGAACATTTGAAACCCTGTGGATCCTGCATGCTCTGCAGGGTGTTGTCAGAGAGTCATCCATCTGGTTGGTGATGATTTGGGTTTAATAAATGTGAAATAATGCTCTGGTCTTGCAAGCAGTTCTGCAAGCATTGTTCTTTGGGGCCCTGAGGGTTCCTCTTGAACCCACTGAGGAAACTAGATCAAATCAAATGACTAATGCCTTGATGAGCACTTAATTGTTTGATGGAAACGATTAAGTTCTCGGTGCAGTGTAGCAGTTTTCAGTTAACTTATTCTTCCTAAGTTCCTTTTATCAGATAATGTATTTTTAATTTTTTACTCCGTGTTATTTTCCTTTGTAAAGCATATAAAAAAAACGTAGCAAGGGATGTTAATGCTTCCATGAATCTGGCACAGTAGATGCTACAGCTGTGAAAAAGCCTCTTGCACCTGGGTGTGCTCCTTGAGAGAAGGGGAGGAGCGTCCTGTTCCAAATCTGTTCCTGATGCATGGCAAGTAGCAGTAAAACTGAGTGCTTAATGCTCAGTTCACATTTGCTAAAGCTTTGGCAGCTGTTGCAAAGACACTTGTGAGGCATGCTCTAATATGGCTAAAACAGCAGCTACGTGGCTGACTTAGCATGTAAGTTTGCTTTCCTTCACCTCCTTAAAGACCTGTAAGCTCTGCTTTCCCTGAGGAATGATAAAACATTCAGTGAAGTGTGGATGCTTAAGAAGACTAAGGGTTTAACAGTATTTGCAGTGACTAATCTGGCTTGAGTTTACCTCGAACTGGAGTATTGTAAGCCTCGGCCTGGCCACACGTGAAGAAAGTCCAGGTTTCCGGAATTTTAGTTCAGTGTTCATTGTCTAGTCCGTGCTTGTGCTGCTTAAAAAGATCAGGCTTCTCTTTGGGGAAAATAAATAGCATCACCATAGCAGGCAACTTAGTGACTTAAGCAAATAAAAACTCTAGTCTCAGTTCGGTGCTTGGTGGCTTGTAGAGATTTTGGCTGCAGAAACATCCACTTTTGCCCTGTTCTGCAGAGGTCATGCTGCAAAAAGAGCTATTCAAAACTAATCAGGGATCTTCTCATTTTACTAAGTGTGTGATGATTTGGAACTGACTCCATCAGTCCCTGATTGTTTATATTACAGTGCACTGCTAAACATTTTGTTATGTCTTTTCTAAGCAGAAGTAGTCTTTTTTTGTAATGTTTAGTATTCTCTGTGTAAAATTACATCAAGTATTAACTTATGGGAGCGTCCTATGTCTTTTTTTCATTCGGCAAAATAGAAATTCTTCAGGATGTTCCTGTGTGAGATAGCTTTCCTTAGTGAAATACTGCTCTTTGGTTGCCAGTGTTCTTCCAGAACCAAAATAACCAAACAAATAAAAATAAAAACAACACAAAAGCATGTCTCTGTGGGATCGATCACCTGTAATAGTAAATACAATTTCTGAAAATAGCAAGGGATGAAGGAAAGCTGTTAAACAAAACCAAGATGGCAATAGTAGCAATAAGTAGCAATAACAATGTATGTCAATTATTTAGCAGACATCTAGTTTACGTACCAGCCAGTGCTAGAAATACCCAAAGAGGTGAATAAATATTACATAACCGTGTACTTCTGAGGCAAGAATACTTGAATTGCTTATTGTTTCAAAATGTTGCAAGCAATATTTTGCAGCTTATTTCTCAGATATGTTGTGTAACTTGTACCCTTGTGATTTTCCTGTAGATTTAGGAAAGAGTTGTAGTTAAGTAGTGTTGCTTGAATGAGGACTGGAATTCCTTCCTGCCCCTTCCTTCCTGCTCTAGTTGTTGCGTTGGCTTTATTCTCATCATATCCAGATGTTATCAAACCTGGAGTGAAATCTTGACCCTGTTCAAGTCATTTAAAACTGTTATTGGCTGAAAAGAAGCTAGAATTTAACGTATAATGATTATTAGAGTATTGAGAAAGACGCTTATTATCCCTGCTGGCTTCAGTGCTACTGACCTTCTTTCATGTCCTCAAAATCACATCAACCATAAAAATACATACATAAATGCATTAGTTGAAGAAATTTGGGAAATAAATGCATTCTCTAGTGGATCTCAAAGTGTTCGCCTTTCCTTATCAGCTCCATAATGATAGTGCAGCAATGGCAGCTTAATGATAGCAGTCCCAGTGATGCCATTCAGTGCCAAAGAGGTGAAGATTGCACATCTTATTTTCAAAAATAATTATGCTGCTAATTACAACACTTGACTTTCGTCCTTTCCTTCCCTGTGTTCTTGAGGAGGCAGGCTTCATCAGCTTGCAAAAGACTGCATCAGTTATTTTAAAGGTCAAAAGACTCTTGTAGTATGATTTGTAATTGCTAGTAACRGTGAATAAAATAAATACAGCATCATTTTGAATAATTTAACTGGTAGCTTAACTTCTGTATTGCTCATTCTGTTCTRTTGTGTGAGTGTAGGTAAGTACTTATCCTAGTGGTTAGAAGAGAAATATAAAACAGATACCAAGCCATGAACTCTTCTGCCTTTTTTTTTTTTTCTGAGAAAATTTGAATCAGAATTCTAAATGTAGTCATTTAGACTCAAATAATAACTCATACAAAACAATGTCTTAGAAGGTTTTTAAAAAAGTATGCAAACCTGCCTACTAAAGAAAAAGTGAGTTTCATAGCAAAGCAACTGCAATGTTGTTGAGAAATACTGTATTTGTAGAACCTTAGTGTATGCTGACCCTTTATTTATTTYAATTGTGTTGCTTTGTGGACTCTAACATCTTTCCTTGTGTGCTTCTGTGTGGTAGGTTACCTGTCAAGGTGTGTTCATTTGCTCCTCCCAGCAAACCACTATGATTCTGAGTCATTTCACCTCCAATAAGGTACTGTTTATTCTCTCACAAGTTACATGTTTTCTTTCCAAGGGTTTGGATGTGGGGTTTTTCCATGTTGTTCAGCTGCACACTGGGCTGTAAATTGCTTTGCTTGTCAGAATGTGTAGAAACAAAGATTTCCACCCCCTGCCCTCCGTTGCACTAAGGAAGGGGTTACCAAAGACCCTCGCAGGCTTTCATGAGAATCACACATTTCAATATCTGTTTATTTTTTAAGTATGTGCTGCCTTTCCTTTAGGAACTCTTTACTGCACCTGAAAGTGTTGTTGGAGCTGCAAAAGTGCTGCTGTCAACCTATCTGTCTCTACCTTGTGCCAATTAGGTGGGTCAGAGATTTGCACCTGAGAGTGATTATGCTGTTCTTCGACATTAATTTACATAGG